TAGACCCTTCTTCAGAAACATTTCTGAAGAAGGGTCTAGGCCCGAAACGTCAGCCTTCCTGCTCCTCTGATGCTGCTTGGCCTGCTGTGTTCATCCAGCTCTACACCTTGTTATCTCAGATTCTCCAGCATCTGCAGTTCCTACTATCTCTGAAACAATTTATTGGTGCAGTCATATTAAAATATCTTTGTTTTTCAGTATTTCAGAAGCTCTATTCTTTGATATAGGAAGCTACCTGCAGCACTGCAGGCAATGATCTCACGTGTGGTGAGTGTGCCCCCTGCAGTCACTTTGGCAGTGAATGCAGCCCTCCCACAAACAACAATGTGATCATCAGATTAATTGTTGCTTTGTGATTGATTGGGGGATAAATATTGGCCAAGATTGTGGGGTAACTTCTGAATTTCCTTGTTAGTGCCACAACATCTTTTACATCCATCCAAACAGAGAGATGGGGCCTTGGATTAAAGTCTCATCCAAAAAACAGCACCTCTGACAGTGCAGTGCCCTGATTTATAGAGCTGCACTGGGTTTTGAATCTGGAACCTAGTAACACAGAGGCAAGAATTCTACTGACTGAGTTAAAAGTTGGAGAAAAGGGCTGTAGTTGTTGTTTGCTGTACAAGTGAGGCCCATTAAAATCAAGTACCAAATAAGCAGGAGGGTACGAGAACCTGTGGGTTCAGGTTGACTTTATGGCTGAAGCAGATTGAGAAACAAAATGTGATTAGCTTTCTTCATGTTTTTTTAGCTGTGGCTAGGATCTTGCCATGTACGTGAGGCGTATTCTTCCAGTCTGTTCTATGATAATGGCTGTCGTTTGACTACAGCTTTTAAGTAATTTTCTCATGTTGGTAAGCCTGTCATGAAGGTGTGAAACAGTGGAATTACGTCAAACCATATCATATATATATAAACAGAAATCAACATTAGCTGCTGTTGGCTAGTTGCAGAGCAGGGCCCAGTGTAGCCAATCCAGGGAAAAAAGGCTTAATCTGAAAACTAGACCAATTCTGTGGCCTATCATATATATTACAGGAAACAGATTGTGCAATCCTTGGGCAGAATCTAATGTATGCTATGCCCTTAAATGTTTTGCATTTCCTACTGCATTACTGAAGCTACTGGGAAGGAAAATATATTCATTCAGGCATTAGAGACTACATACCTCCCAGTGTCAGAAAATAGTCCGAGCAAAGTTAGGTTGGTCTGAGCCTTTCTTTAGCTTTTCAAATCCAACGTGACATTTTGAACACACGAACATAGGTGAAAAGAACTGGAAGCCATTCAGCTCCTCAGGCCTGAGATCATACCTGATCTGATTCCAGCCTCAAAACTGTATTCACGCCTACCCCTGATAATCCTTCAATCCTTAAAAAGAATCTATTCAAGGTCTCTGCTTCTACCAATTTTTCAGCAAGAGACTTCCAAAGACTTACAGCCTCAGAAAATATTTCATCTATTCTGTGTTTTAAGTGGGTGGCCCCCAACTGTGGCATAGTCCAGAAAACAGACTAGCAGTGTATCCCATTATACCTATTATAGGGAAGAGATTATGCTGAGAATAAACAGAATTTACTGTGTTGAATGCCCTTAACAGTTTTGGTTCTTATCACATTCATTGAGGGTGCTTGGAAAGAAAATATATTCAGTCCTCTCTATATCGTGTCACAGAAATATTCACTAAATTGAGGGGAATGACCTGTTAATCTTATCTAAAACTAGACTCCTCCCCTTTGAGTAGTGCAGTGAGATCTTTTTTCTCTCTAGCTCTGCTTCTTGACCAAAAAGGCAAAACTTAACTATTATTAAGCTTGACAATTTTTTCATGGCTGTTTCTGTTAAATACTCAAGTAAAATATAAATTTGTTCCTTTAAAATTTTTTTTGGAGTTCATGTTTACCGTTATGGTCCCCTGAGGATGAGAAAAATTGAAATGTGGCCCCCTCCACTCCATCTAGGAAGGTTAGCCATTAGAGATAAGTTTGCCTATTCACCTACTAGGCAGCAATGGATAACCAGAAAGGTTGCCTCCAGAATCCTTTTCTCAGTTCTGATATCTCTCTAGTTTTCAATGTACAGTAATAAGTCGATTTTCTGATCATATCTCGTATTTTACAGATATTTAATTCCTACAGCAAACAGATTTGACTCTGCAAATAGGTTGTGTTTTACTGATATACTTGCTGTTTTCTCTTGTAGTTGGTTGAAGGATTGTTGCAGTTTTGTTTTTACACCTTTGTGGAATCAAAGACTCTGAGAGTGGAGTTCCCTGAAATGTTGGTGGAAATCATTAGCAATCAGTTACCAAAAGTCATGGCAGGTATGGCCAAACAGCTCCGGTTTCACCACAAGTGACTGCCTTATAATGGAAAAAAAATGCCTTAAAAGTATCCTCCATAGCTTTTCTTTTCGCAAAGTGATCGGAAATTTGGAAATGTTTGTCCTGCAAACGCTTGCCATTCTGTCATATGCACTACATATGGTTTACAGAGAGGAACGGGCCTGGGCTGAGGCGAAAAGGAGATGAAGTTTTACAGCCTAAGGACTGTACATTGAAAAACATAGGTGGCAGAAAATCTGCATGTATTTTGTTTGTAAATTTCATTTTTGTGTTCTGTGATACAGATTTGATTTTATGCATGCATTCTAATGAGATGTTTACAGTGTATATCAGAAAAGGGAAAATTGTGCCTTTTTTTAAGCTTTTTAAGTCTAATGTAGCCAATTTGGACAGTTTATTGTTAACGCAGGAGAACTGCTAACTTAGTTTTTTTTTCTGTATCAGTATGTATTTTTATATTAAGTGGAATTTGAGCCTGATAAAGTTTTTCTTTATAGCCATCATTGAATTCTGTTGTACAAATGAGCCTGCTCATTGCTCTCATGTAAATATGCAGAAACTGGTCATTTTGAAAAAGACTGATCAACTACAGATGAACAAACCAGTATTTGAATTTCTCAAAAAAAAAAACTGGTGTGTGATCCGAGAGGACAAATTTCAAACGTCAGGAGAGTGTGGAAAAGTATATGCAGCCCTCTGCAAGCCCATGGACTGGGTTAGATTGATTAAGCAACATGACGGTGACCACATTTAAAGATGCTACAGAATTTCTGCCAATTATTTGCCCTTGGCATCCATGCCACATTTTATTATTTACTTTGTTTGGTTCTGATGCTTGTTGGTTCATCATTGCTGTTAGATTTGTACCCGTGCTCCATAATGGAGCTAGCACAGTTTCTGTAATAAGCACCTGGACCTTATTTAGGAAAATCCCCTCTCGGCTTCGACGGGGTTGATGCATTCCTTAATGTAAGCATATTGTAAATTTTTGACTGACAGAAGCTTATTGTAGCATAGGCTTAATTCTGGTGATAAAAGTTTATATTTTTTAACTCGTAATCTAATTACAATCTACCTTTGTATTCAATACATTTCTAGTTGATTTGTCAGTCATTATCTATGCTTCCCTCTGGTATGCAGTTTATAATATATTGGACATTATCAGCATGGAATGGAGAGAGAATAGGAGTTTTGTTCATGTTCACAGCTGTAGAGTTGAGGTGGTAATTCAAGATTTTCTGATTTATTACTATAGTTAAATATGTATAATTAAGATAGATCTGCTGAAAACAAGAAGGGCTGCCTTCAGAAAGAAATCAGGAAATGAAAAAGCAGAAACACCTTAAATTTATTTCAATTCCTTATTTGCCAACCATTCACCTACAGCCTGGGCCGTGAAATTTACTCCAATCTTCATGGATGGTGTCATACAATTAGGTGTAACTCAAATGGAATAATTTAAACATCACTTTCTGCTTTCCTTCAAAATTTGGCACTCCACTCTAAACTACAGATTTGGTCAAGAATTAGTAGTGTAGACAACAGAGGTGGGACATTAGAAATATATCTGTCTTTAAATCCTTTTAAGAGAGAGCAATTTTTGTCACTGTCACATCCACCATATTTTGTTGCAATAACTGGTATACATATAAACTCAGAAACCTTTGTTGATTTGCTTTGAGTCTTATCAGCTAATAACATGTTTGTCAAGCAACAACAAGAAACCCTTGATTTCAAGGTATTTGTTTGATGTAGTATAACAATAATAATCAGTTTGGAAAATTGATTGCATAAGTGTTGGGGAGGGTGCATTTCAGTTGCTTAGTTTCATTAAAAAAAACCTGTATTGATTTTTAAGCCACATAAATTAAGTAGGTTAATTAGGTTAAAATATTGCTTCTGCTGTGTAACATAATGTGTCCAGGATTTTAAGTATAGTGGTACTTTGGGGTAGTGACTCAGTAATAGAGTAAGCATAAATCTTTCTCCTGATACTTACTCAGTGTATTTACTTTGAAGACATTGAATTCAATCACCTCCCCAATTGGACTAATTGCCAGAAACTAGTTAAAACAAATGCATTGTTTTTAACTGCAATACTGAAATTATTGAAATGATCAGATCCCAATCATAGGTTTATTGCATCCTGAATTTTAGTTTTAGTTCATTCAATTGGAGTACAGACATTCTGCTAATTGTCAGCACAAACTAAGGGACAACATGAACATTAACTATACTAATGTGCTTTGATAGGAGATAAATGAAAAGGAATTATGTTTATGGAGGTGCATTCTACAGTTTTTTTTTGTAATTTGATTCAAAGTCAATGCAGAACAATAGTTGCCAAGCCCCTTAGTTTGGTGACTGTTACTTATGATGCTACTGGTCAGCCCAACATATGTCAGATAAAAATTAACAAGAACTGTGAAATGTTCATTTAATCTCACTAAGTATCACGGCAGTTTTTGTTCCAAAATACCTAATGCATATTGCTGTTTAAAGTCAGCATATCTCAGTAAATTGCCAGTTGCTGATACCTTATTCAAAAAAGGAGTATCGTTTTTCCATGGAGCATATACTGTCTGGTTTATTTTGCAATGTGCTTTTACAATGAGAGCTTGCAATTTGCATCAGGTGATGTTGGAAAAAAACGTCCTCAATTGTTAAAACAGACTTTGCAGCCTAACTAATTTATTTGAGTTTCACACTTCTTTTGAGTATAAATGCTTATTTTCCTTTTACTGTTTATCCAGAAAAAACAATTAATGTGGGATTATAGATAACTGAAAATTTTGGAGAGCTGAAACAATCTTGAATCCCCTGCACATATATGGGCCCCTTCATATACACTTGGTTGAGTCTACTGAGAATATTTGCCTCAAATTGGAAGACTTGTGTTTGGGTGGGTGTGTATGTGTATAAATATAGCATTTCTTTTCTATCTGATACTTAATTCAATTGAATTACGAGAATCATGGTCTTAAACTGTATTCACAAAGTTTAAAATTTCAGGTTAGTGCTACTTTTTAATAGTTGCTTGATCAGTCTTATCTAAAGCATGAGATTTATCACAGACACAAGTCTGACTTGGTACCTACCACTGATCTAAAGGCAAGCTTTAAAAGAAAAATTAATAGTTTAATAATTTTAAAAAGTGACAGTTAATAAGCAATTGGATCAGAGCACTGATGTGTGGATGTGAAAATCGTAAGCGCTTACTCAGATTTTAAACTGCTTTTTATTGATGTATCATGTTGCTTTAATTTCCAATGTGTGTAAAGGGAAGATCAGTATGTATCTGTACAAAATTTAATACCATCCATTATTTCAGGGATAATTTAATTATTCCTCAAAACATGAAGGAGAATTATCTGGAGTGATTGCACAGCAGAAGTTTCCGGTTTAGAACTGCTATAATCTTTAACTGTTGAGTTGATGCTCCTTTGTTTGTCTTGGAAATCCTTTGCCCTTCCCAAATACCAGAACTTTTCAATGAATTTCAATCTCGCGGCATAACACAATTATGGCTTTTGAGATGCGTAGGCATGTGTCATGGGAATCCACGTCTGGGCATTGGCATTGTAACTTTTTCTAAAAAAAGGTTATTAAACATGTAGGTTGGACTGATTTTTTTGTTTTTGATATTGAGGTGTTTTCCCCCCAAATTTGTTCTGTTTTATAACTCCTGATTTCTAGTCAGTGGTGTTAGTAGTGAAGGCCTGCAGAGACTTTCGTCATGCTTTAGAAGGAACAGGCTTAATGTTATGGAAGTTCTATGCTTTGCTATAGCCAATTGTCTTTACTGTTACTTCACCTGTCATAAAGCATTACTCATAAGTAGAAATGAGTCTAGGTAATTAAATCAGTACAGCTCGCAATAGCGATGGAAGTGTTTCGAAGTTCATGAAGATTAAGAGTTCTTGGAACTCCTTGCCACAGAGCTGTGGAGGCAGAGTCCTTGTGTATATTTAAGTCTGAGGCAGATAGATGCTTGATCAGTCTGGGTTATGGAGAAAGGCCAGAAAAGTGGACAGGAGGAATGTCAGATTAGCCATGATCCCGTTGAATGACAGCAGGCTTGAGGGGCCAAACAGCCTAATCCTGTTCCTACTACTTATGGTCTTGTTACAAACAAGCCAATATCTCTCTTTCTTTAACGTCTCTATATTTTTGTTGGCAGTTTGCCAAAGGTGCTAGCAGTGGGTTCAATAATAATGCCAAAAACAGTTTTTATTTTTAATGTCTGCTTCTAATTATTTTCCCATAAGAAGGGAAAATGCTGCTAAGGAATGGCTGCAGTTTTACCTCTGTATGAGTCATGTGAGTAAAGTAGTGATGAAATTTGCTCAGTGATCAGTAACTATTTTTACTTGTGTAATCAGACATGGGGCCTGGTTTTAAATTCAAATGTGTATTGAAGCAAAGTGACTTACCGTTCTTTGTTTTAATATATTCAATATAATTTCAACTCCCATACCCTTACAGGATACAGAATTTTAAGAAAAAAAATTCCACTTGTTGCTTTATCAGTAATTGAATGGAGATTTTTTTCCAAATGATGCTTTTTAAAGAAGTTTATAAAATGGGCTGGTCTCATTTTGGGATGGAGAATATACATATTTTAATTTCTACCCTAAACCCAGAAAACAGCTATGTCTACAGCTTGTAGAAAGTGACTTCCTTTGGCCCATCAGTCAGTTAGCAACAGCAAAAACAAATTCTAACTCCGATTAGTTCTGAACATATTATATTGTTAGGCTGTTACAGACAAATGTTATTGCAAAATATTATTTCATGCATGTGTACAGTTGCCAGTCTTTGTATTTAAACACAGTGTATATACGTGACCTGGAGGGCTCTTATGGTGCAGTGGGAGTGTCCCAACCTCAGACAGGAAGCCTGGGTTCAAGTCCACAAACTCAATCTCTGAACAGCTTGATCAGTAAATATCTATATAGATGGCCACAGACATCTGTTCTACAAATCTGTAGCTGATCTTTTGTGTAGGTTGTGTAGGTGGCCTGTTGCATGTGGGTTTTTGTTCCCTTTTGAGAGAAAATCATTCATCTTTGCTGACTTGGCTTTTCTTTAATAAGAGGATATTCTAAAATAAATTAAGTGAGAATATATGTCTTTTTTTTAATATTATAAAACAGCATCAATTCCGATAGATTCGAATCTATCTCAATCTCTCACAGGAACTGAAGCACACATTTCAGTACACAGGGTGCCTTAGAAAAGTGTCCATAACTTGGGTAATTTGTTTTGTGAAGTACGTTTATGAAGTATTTCCATCCAAATTAACTAGTGAGCTGATCTTAAGTGATGTTTTAGATCTTTGCCCGATTTTTATTTACAAGCTGTGGTAAATCACAAATTTTGGTAGAAACTACAAGAGGAGATGAATTAAAGATGGAAGGAAAAGGCATCAGACATTGATGAAATCAATTGCATTGCACATTATTATTGACTTTGTGGTGAAATCACAAATCGGTCTTTTGATTAAGAATTAACAGGAGAGTTATGGAAAAATTTGAAGGAAGGAACAATGTGATGTTGGATAAACAAAGCCTGCTTTGTCATTTGCTTTACACCAGACTAGTTAAAACCTGGTTACTTGTGTTTCATTCTATGTTGAGATCCATTGTCACAATGCACAATACCTACAAATTAAAGATATAAGGAAGTAAATATAATACAGGACATACCCTGACAAGCGTCCTACAAAATATTTTCCAAAGACACTTATCAGGTCGCATTTCCCCCTTAACCGGGCATTCGTAAAACTCAAGGATTTATTCTGGCAGGGTGATCAAAAACAAGAAAATCCAACCGTTGTCTGAATTCATACACATTGTATGTAAGCACCACAAAATATGCTTGAAATGTAGAACGTATACATCATGTAGAGTTAGAAAAATTATCAAACCTAAAAGAAAATACTTATTTCATGAATTTAATGCAGCCTATTAATGTGAATTTATAAAAGGATTGTGCTTTTAACAAAATCCAGATAATAATTAAATGGCTATATATTTTATACATGTATTTTTTAAAACATCCACCTTATTACATCCCCTTTGAAATAGATCAAATTCATTAGAATGTGATATTAAAATAAGTTCTTCAAAAGTGACCATTTTGATAACCTAATTTGTAATTTTGAAAATAGTTTTAATTAATATTTTCCTAAATTTATTCTATAAATATAAAATGAGGATACTGACACTTTAATCATTACTTTAAAGGTGTGCCTTTTTCAAAAGGGCAGAAAAACTTGCATCTACTGTATGTAGAGATATACATTCTTAAATATTTTTCAGAATTTTATTAATTTTGAATGTATAATTTTATATACATGCACTGAGATAATGTGTAAAGGTCAGACAATCAAATACGCCCCTATTACCTCTAAAATTTGCTCATGTATGTTGTACACAATGAATTATTACTGACATGTTTATTTTAAACATGATAGAAAAGAATGCTGAAATGGTAGTAATCATCAGAATTGATTTTTTTTTTAAAATAAAATCAATATTTGAAAAAATATTTTGGAAAACTTGCTTCACCCCATAATCTCAACTTCTCAGTAGTGCATTGTAAAATGGTCCACCAATAAGTGAAAATCAACGTGCAGTTTTTCTCAAAGACCTTTTTAGTTTCCAAAACTACTAACTAAAACCTGAAGTCAAATGCTTATGTATTTTTTTTCCCATAGTCCTGCATCCCTTCTTTATTCTGCTTAGAGCTGGTTGATCTTTGTGGTACTTCTGAAAATTTGTCTCATTACTTATGTTGTTACAGATGTAATTTGCATTATTGTGCAAGTGTTTAAGTCCAGTAATTGTGAAGAGCTTTCCAAACTGCAGATAACGGACAGAAATTGGATAATAAATTTGCTTTTCCATTAACTGTCTCTAGTTGTTACTTCAACAAAATAACTTCTTTCCATTTCTGCTAATAATGGCAAAAGCCTTAAGATCAGAATGTGCACTAGAACATTGTGCAATGCACTTACATCTGCGCAATGCAAAAGCATATGCAGATTTTGTAGTGGAGGACGACCAGTATGATGATTATAAATTACTTTCCAATCCCTGTCATTTGTCATTTCCCTCTCATTTTCCCATACTCCTTCCCTATCTCTACTTCCTTCAAAGTAACTTTGAACTTACTTGGAGTATAACAAAAACTGTCCTAGCACTAGAAAAGCATTGAGTGTACGTTCTTTCCAGTGTTTAGAGATACCAATGAAGAAGTATTTGCAATGAAAATCAAAATAAAGTTGAAAATGAGAGGCTGGTAATGGCTCATAATAAGAAACCTTGTTTTCACTTTCTCATTCACTGTTTCTGCCTGCAACATTGACCCAAGATTCTGGAGCACCGCAAGTTGCATTAGGAAGACATAGATTGACTATGGTGATTGAATGGGGAAAGGTAGAAAAAAAACACTAAAACACTAAACTATACCTGAATGTGTGCAACAAATCAGGTGAGTTAACAGAACTTAACAGGTATGACCTAATAGCCTTTATAGAAGATAGGCAAATGAAAGAGGAGATTGAATAAACCTGACAATAGAAGATGTAGGAGGCCCAGTTGAGGGATGGGATCTTGCAAAACCCCCACAGTTGAACCAGATTGGATAGGCCTAAGAAAGAAAGAGCAGGGGAACAAATATTGGTACGTGTTCTTTAGAAGCTCCTTAAGAGTGGTTGTAATGTAGAGCAGAATATAAACCAGGCAATTAGAGCTGCATGCAACAAGGTTGAGAAAATAATTATGAAGGGCTTACATTAGATTTGGTTTGTTCAGGCTATAAAGTAATGGAGTGGACAAAAAGAAGTCTATGAAATGTATAGAGGAAAGGCTAGTGGATAAGTATGCTATGGTGTCAATAAGAGAACAGGTTATCTCAAATACAGTATTATGAGAAAGGACTGCTAGTAGCAAAGGAGCTTCTAGGAAGGAGTGACTGTAAAATGCAATTAACTCATGCTGAATTTAAAAATGTGGGTGTGAGGGGTGAGTGGCATTGCTTAGTGTTTAAATTCATAATTTGTAACAATTGAACATTCTTTTTAAGGTACATCAGCCTGCAAAATGGCAATATTTAATTATTGTGGTATCCTAAACTCCAACTGTTAAGTCAATGACAAATTTACCATAGCCATTTCTGGGTCCTGATGGGATTAAGTTTCAATAGGCAACCCGCTGGCTAGCTTTGGGGTTCTTTGGTCCATTAGGGCAATTTCCTACCACACAAACAGAAAATCTTCTCATGTTAATGAATGCTGTTAGTCTATCAAAGGCCAATACAGCAGAACCACCGGAATGGGACAGAGGTATCCATTCAAATGTGATTGCTCCACCTGAGCAGGATGAATAAATATCCTCAAGATGGGTTTACTAGTGGGTTGGGGAGAGTTTAAACTAAGTTGTTTACTTTTGTTTTGGGGATAGTTAAAGGGATGAGCATTTATACTTCTCTATCATTTAACTCAATGTTAACTACTCATTGCATCTCTTTTAGTAAGTTTTGTTTTCATTAGCTGCTAATACAAATTTATTCCGAGACCTGGATGACATTTTAAGATTTAAAACTAGGTATTTAGATGGCCATTTCAGTAACTGGGAAAATATTTCATTCTGTGATCCATGGACTGGTGTAATTGGAGTGATGGTGCAGTCTTGGTCATCACACAAGTCTTTTTCACTGATAAAATTGGAAACCTTTTAAATTAGTCCAGAGTAATGAAACAGTCTCTCAAAAAATGTTCTGTTTGTAAATAAAGAGATGTCTTAGTCTATTGATATAATTCATATAAGCAATTCCATCTCTCAGGAAAAAAAAATCTGGGAAGATAAATATTCACATGCTTGATTTTCATGGTGATGTAAATCTAACAGACTGGTATGTATAATGATCAAATGATAATGTGTCAGAAATAACTGGAAGATCATTATCTTGCTTTTAAATTAGTAAGTCCTGGAAATTCATCTGATTTTTTCTCATTTTGAATGAAATCTCAGCTTTGTAGCTATTGGGCCTCAGGGCTTGCTGTAATATAACTACTAAGGGACCCGGTACACTGAAAAATTATGGAATTTTGGGCTGCTGCTGGCATCTGAGCTGTGCATCCTATCATCATTATGCCTCCAACATCAGAATATCCTCCCCAAAACCTGTTTATCTCCATTTCCTCTGATATCTATGCCCATTAGAGTTTTAGTTGCCTTTTTTATATCTTCTTTTGTTGTTTGTTTGTTATCTACTGATGCCTGATTATGTCTCCATGAAATTCTTTAACATTTTCAACATTATAGCCATTACATCTGTTTTTTAAAGTTTAAAATTTTGCTTTCAGAATAATACAGTATTGGTACATCAAAATTTCCCACATAAATACCCCTTGCCAGTAATGAGAAAAACATTTGAAGATAGCAGCTCCCATTAGTGACATCTACAGATGAATTACCAACATTACTACTATGCCACCATTCTCCCAACATGAGATGTTGGGGAGACATGAGTTCAAATCCAACCAGGAAAGCAGATGGAATTAGAATTTAATTAATAAAAGTTACACTTGAAAGTCAGACCACCAACTGTTCTAAAAACCAATCTAATTCACTAATACCCCTTTTGAGGAGGAAATTTACCATCTTCATCAAGTCTGGCTTGTACATAACTTCAGATTCTAAACAATGTGGTTGACTGTTAATTGCCCTTGGTTTGTTAGGCCAGAAGACAGTTAAGGGTGGGCAACAAATGCGGTCCTTGCTAATGATATGCACATCCTATTAAAGAATGTTTTAAAAAAACTTCTCAATTTCAAGGAAACTGTGCAGTTCTGCTCTATGGTCAAGAAAGGAATGCCTACCTATTTGTGACAGTCTGTATTTGATACTTAGGTGTCAATGCCATCTATTCTACAATTGCACATGTAGATACATACTGCATATTAGTGCATGCAAACAGTTCTCTCTTGCTAAACCAGTCTTAATTTTCTAAACTATTACCTCAATGCAAAATAAGTTAAATTAAGCAATATGTAGAAGAAGTGGGAATTTAGTACTTAAAATATTTAATTAGCAACTTTGAATTAATATGTGCCACACTAAAAACTTGATTAGATGAATAACCTTATTTCTTTACATGAATCATACAGTGATCTTCCATACACCAAATAATTTTATTGCAATCTGAAGATAATTACAGACAATGCAAAGGGATGCACCTTTGATAACAATACACTTTTGAATCGGATGAGCTATCTAGCAACAATTTTGATAACAGTGAACCACATGGAAGGCACATTAACCACTGCTGCAAAATCACACAAAATAACTCTTCATATGACAACCAACTGGACTCAGCAAGCTTGCCATTAAGTCAGTAATGAGGACTTCAGAAATTTTAAAAAGCAAAGATATCCCTCAAAATATAATATCCATTAAAAAAAAACCCTCAATCTTCATTTGATACATATTTTGTTCAGTTTGAATCAAGAAGTAGAATGACAAATAGACCGTGAAAGCTTCCTTTTGTTCTCCCAGATTTTTCTTTCCTTCATTTTTTTCATCCTGCTCCTTCCTAGCAGTTCAAAGCCCAATGATCCCCTAAAAAGCTAAATATGCAAGATGACTAAATTAGGAAAAAAGCTTGTCCTAAACAGACACACATTGCTTACACCTCTTTACTTATGCTCACTGTCAAACCAATACAGTAGGTTCAGCCTTTTAATGGATGTATATTCTGATCATGGAACCTTTTCTTATTGCACCCTGGAAAAATAAATGCATTTCTGAAGAAGGGTCTGGGCCCGAAACATCAGCCTTCCTGCTCCTCTGATGCTGCTTGACCTGCTGTGTTCATCCAGCTCTACACCTTGTTATCTCAGGTTTTTGTTGTTGCTGTGTTTGAAAGTCCAGGTTTCAAAGATGATTCGAAATCATTACATTTATATGAAACCAGATTAGATCTGTTTTCTTTTTAGAAATTGGCACAAGCATAACTACCTCTCCAGCTTCAGAAGCAAGGGAAGGAAGATTGCTAAAATCATACTTTGTTGCTCAAAATTCATTTTTCAGTACAGTTAAAAATAAATTCTGATGTGAAGATAGTTTGAAACATCTCACTTTCTGGTTGATTGTCATTTTTAAAAATGTTATACAAACGTTTTTATTTAAAATAGTAACATTCTTAAAATCCAATTTTTTTTTACATCAGAGGGCAATCATTTTTCTATAAACAAATCTCATGCAAATATCACTAATATATTTGAAAAAAAAAAAATGTTTCCCATAGTGATTAAGATTTTAAAATAGTCATATAGACAGTGGTGTGAGCTTTATCTCAGTATAAAATTTGACCATCTGATGGCATCATTCTAAGCCCCTTGTAGCTCTGGTATGCATTATCACAATTCTATAATTTAAGCGTGTGATTCCAACTGTTCTGTTGGGAGAAATCCTTGTTAGGAGACAAGTAGTCTGACCAGCTTAATTTCTGGTCAATGCTGGAAACATCTTGAAATGAAATGGCAAACTAACAGATACTTTGCAAAGGAAAAGCTGAAACAACACACTGCCTACATCATGTTGATTACATTTGCCACGACCTTCATAGAATGAATATCTACACTATATACATGATACAGTATAGTTCAGATAAAATAAACCCTAATTTAGGAATCCAGGAACTGCTTGAATTAAAACAAAATCCTTCAGAAATAATTACAGGCTCTGGTTTGATAAATTAACAGTGAATCAAATCAACACTACAGGACAGTAAAGGCTAGGGTTAAAGTTAATCAATCATCTATCTCCAGTTCACTAATCTTTCCTTATTGCATTACTGCAATAGAAGTAAAACCTTAAAAGCTAAAATCTTGTTGATGTCTTCGCACATTGCCATGGATACCATGTAGTGCTCCGAAATAACGTCTTCCACCTTTGGCTATAGAAACTCAACATAATTTTCCGGAATTAGTCCAGTTTTCCCATCCAATGTTCCTTCAAGCCAACCAGGTTCTTTGGATGAATGAACTGCAAAATACACAACTGTTAATACTGAGAGCGTAAGCACTGTTTTAGACCAGCTCCAGAACAAGAGGTCTTCACCAAGAGGAAGCATGTCAAGAATGGTTAATGAAACAAGTTTTGCATTTATATTGCATAGTGTCAAGTCTCCTCACTTACATTTGCTTCATTGACAACGTTTGACAATATCTTCTATTGTGTGCAGCCTCTAAGGAGAATAACTTGCTCATTTATCCATTGCTAAAAAGAGGCATGAAGTTGAAGCTTAATAGGACATACGAAATCAAACTTTGAAAGGGAGGATAATTTATATAGCATGAAAAGACTGTGCTGATTGGCTGTACCATGGTTGGCATGAAGACGCAGCAAGATCTATTAACTGCCAATCTTAGCTGCTTAACCTTGAATCAAACTCTGGTCAAGGCATGCCATAAGGAATTGACAGTCAGGACTGACAGTCTCCATGATCCTTTCTTCAATGAAGTACATGCAACTGTAGAAGCTATATGTAGCTTCTAGCACATGCAAATAAAATGCAATGCAAGCCCAACTGATAATATTAAATTGGTTTCTGGTGTAATTCTTACTACAGTCTTTTATGGAGCCTTTTAAAGCTAAAACATAATCATTTTAGGCAAGTTGTGCACATACAGAACTCTGATTGAACCTCTAATTCAATATAATTTTCTCCACACTTACCATTTTCAAACATGGTTCCAGCACTAAAGGATAATTCTGAGTCATACTCCGCTTTACATGCATACAAGGCTCGAGCTTTGCGACATTGAATACTGTAAAAGTGAAGTGACAGTATTAAGGGGATTTACTTTAAAAAGTCATAAGAATGATGGGCGGGTAACAGAGCAGTTCAGAACAGCTCTGTATACTGTTCACTGATGCTCAGTTTGTATTCTGCGAGGGTTTCCCAGCTTCTACCCTCATGACAGCCTTTGTTCAAAGAGGAAAGACAAGATTAAATGCCTTTGAGATTAATACAGAGTTCAATGATAGCAGTATCAATAGCATTACTATCTCTACAAGCCCATGATCAAGATCCTGCGGGTTATCACTGACCAGGAACTTAACTGAAGCAGTCATATGAATACTGAGGGTAGAAGGGCTGGGGTCATAGGTTAAAAATTCTGAAATGAGTAATAAATTTCCAAACTCCTGTGAAGCCTTTCCACGATCAAAAATGCACAATTCAGGAGGTGATGGAATACTCCCCAATTGCTGAGATTACTGTGGCTGCAATGACATTGTCTAGAAGTTCATCTAGGACAAAGCAGTCTGTTTGAACCTCGCCAATTTCACCTACTTTAAATATACACTCACTTGCACCACCAATGCACAGGGCAACACTGAATATCCGGTTCAATATTCATTGAAGCAACTCACTAAGGCTCCTTCAATAGCACCTTCCAAACCATTTACCTCCACTACCAAGACAACAAGGGCAATAGGTGTATGGGAACAATACCAATTGCCATATTCTCTCCAAATCACATTCCATCCTGGTATGGAACTGGATTACTATCCCTTCACTGACATGGGATCAAACTCCTGGAATTCTCTGCTGAACAATACTGTGGAAGTATTGCTGAAAAGAGAGACACATTGTTGAACTTATCTTGCACTTATTAGAGCAAATACAAGAAAGCCAAATGATCTGAATACTTTTTACTAGAGGAAATGGTGTTGATTGGTAATCAAGTTAACTCTGATTTACTGAGAAAGCAATGCAGACCTTTAGACTTATTACAATAACAGGTTATTTAAAAAAAAACAAAAGAACAAAGCTTGAATATATTCCTTTTGATTTCAAGGAATAAATCCTTCTGTATGAATGTATATTGCTTCTAGCAACTGTAAATCCAAATGATCATCACAGATTGACTGCTAGTACAGCTATTAACACACCCACGAAGTTTAACAGGTTCTACCCAATTGCAGAATCACATCTAACAAGAGATATTTTACTTTGGATTTTCAAGTGTGGGGTGATCAAGTATGATCTGTACTCAGCCTATTATGAACAACCAGAGGAATATGCTCAACAACAACAGCAGAGGAATATGCTGTTTGATTCCACAGGACAGGACATAAGCAGAGAAGACAGGAGTCTGGATTACAAATTTACAGCCAATGATTCTCTGACTGTGACTATGTTAGACTGTTTCTTTCTAATCTGTGGGCCAAAATCATCCAATTTTTGGCACAAGTCCCCAGATTAGCAAGGAGGAAAATTAGCAGGAAATCCTTGAATTTGCAACTGAAACATGAACAAACAATCAAGAACACTCAAAGCTGTTAAGACTGCCAACAAATGGCGAGGTACAGTAATCAAAATTTAATATAAACAAATAATGAATCAAAATATAAACACCCAATTTAATCACTGAATTTTGTTACGAGAACAAGGGACAAGATACAATATTATAAATAATTATGCTTCAACAGAACAAAATTAAATGCAAACCTTCCCATAGAAGAAATATTATTTTAACTTACTGTAAATAAACACAATTACAAGTGAAAACCAAACTGCTCATTGTATAAGATAGTAAAAGATGGTGAGAAATATATACTGTAATTATGAATGTTTTGCTTTTTTACAGTTCTTCTTTTAAAGAGTTAGTTTTATTTGGTTTCAGCACCCACTGCTTTCAGTCAAAGGGATTGGATTGAAGACTACTTCTGGACAAAGAAGCTAGCCTCAGTTTCAACCTCATGTTACAGTGACGGCTGTTATACTGTTGCAAATGTCACTGGGAACTGATACAAGCTTATGTCTGTACATTCAAGGAGACATAAGAAATCCTAGATGAGCAGGAATTTATTCTGATGTCTTTTATAAAACAATTTTTTAATTTTGCCAGTGTTCTGGAGAAAAGTTAAAACACAGGTGTAAGAGACTCAACAGTATACATGCTTTTAATGAATTATATTGGGATTGTAAGATATCAGTGAGTATCAATCTATTTAGTACTGTTTTGCATTCTGTACTGTTCTAAATATAAAGTAATTATAAATACTCTATAATTATTTGTTACTTAACAGCTATTAAATTAATTAAAATAGCTTTAAAAAATTTATGATAAAAGTATGTTTTTTCTTATTGAATTGAAATTAAAATAAAGCATGATGAACAATATAGTAATATACTTCCAAAATATTTTTTCACACTATTTTGTAAAGGCTTTTATGTCTGGATAAGTCCTAACCTTATTGGTTTATTATGTAAAATCTGCATTTTCTCATAGGCTATTTTGAATTTTAACTGGCTGTTATGCTTTGATAAAATTATATTACATTGAAGAGATACAGCAGTCACAACCATAAAAGCTTCACCTGTGTTTGAATGCAAATTTACCAAAGGTTCTGCTTAAAAGAAAACTTCAGTCTTCAGGCTGGTTTTCAATTGGCTAAAGAACCATAATTTAGCCATTTCCCTACTTGGTACTAAATGAATAACATAAGATTAACTTACCGTTAAAGAACGCACCAATATCAATTTAAGTCAGTGATCTAGTGTATACATTTATTAATAAAACTCTAAAACCTTTTGGGGGGAAGGGTTGGGTTTCTCCCCAAATGAAGTAGTAGTTAACAATTGAAAAGAAAAGTTGGTACCACACCTGAGAGGGGAGGAGTCGCTGGAAGTTGAGGAAACAGGTACTGGACTTGAAGGTGCTGAAACCATGGGCCACGAGGGTGATAATGGTGAGCTGGGACTGGGAGGGAGAGGACTAGAAATTCAATAAGCAGTGTTAAAAACAGAAAAAAAAATAACAGAAAGGACATGATTTTCAGATTCGTTAGGTTGGCATGCCACATTAAGGATTTATTTGTGAACTTGCTGGCATTTTGGCAACAGTTTTCAACATGATTGTAAACAAGACTTTCAACAGTACACTGAACTCTAAATAAACAGGAACATGGTCACATCACAGAAATACAGTTGTATTCAAACACATTTTGGTAAAATTTCTGATTCAGAAGAATATTAAAACAAACTCCTGCTATTACTTTCAATCTACAATATTTTTAACATTTGTTCACATAGAGGAATGGAAAAAACAGATTTGTGATCTTCCATAGCCTTGTATGGCTGCATAATTTTTTTTTGTCCTTCAGTTCTCATCGGTATCCTTGACAACCATAAGATGTCAATACTGAACATCTTTTGTCAATAGCTGACTTAAATGCAGATTCTTCACATTAAAGTAATCCAAATTCAGATTTCTTCCATTAGATTAAAAAAAATACCAGCTACATTTGGGGAGAGGGAACAACAATGCACGGGAGCTAATGAAGAATCAGAAAAAAGGCACGTCCTATCGGCAACAGTAGTTTTAGTAGCTCAGGACAACTGTAAATCTTTCTGAATTCACAATGATTTGTCCTCAGCTTGTATCTGCTAACTATTCAGGGAAACTCTACCAAAATGACTTCCCTGGCATACTAAACAAACCAGAACAGCCAAAATATTAAATGATTACCAGACAAAATGAGAGTTGATAAGAGAATGTAAATGAAATTGCAGAAAATACAAGAAACGTTAAACATAGGAGACAGGAGCATAGAAACACAGAAATACAGGAACAGGATGTTGGCCATTCAACACCTTTCTATGTGGATGGGTTTCCTTATTTCATTTCTGAAAGATCTAGTTCTAATCTTGATCCATTCCTCCTCCATTCCCAACATCTCCCCACAGCCCCATCCCATGCATTCGCAGAATGTGTAATAATACCCGTTTACTTCCTTCCTCCTCACTGTCCAAGGTTCCACACACACCTTCCAGGTGAAGCAGCGATTTACTTGCACTTCACTCAATCTAGTCTACCGTATTTGCTGCTCACAATGTGGTCTCCTCTACACTGGGGAAATGAAGCACAAACTAGGTGACTGCTTTGCAGAACACCTGCGTTCGGTCTGCAAAAATAACTGAGCTTCCAGTTACCTGTCATTTCAACACCCCACTATATTCCCTGGCCAACATCTCTGTTTTGGGCTTGTTGCAGTGTTCCAGCAAAGCTCAGTGCAAGCTGGAAAAACAATACCTCATTTTCTGCTTGGGGACCCTGCAGCCTTCAGGACTCAATATTGAGTTCAATAATTTTAAGACCTGAATATCATCTCCCATGTCTTTACCACAACGCCCACACACTAGGCTTTGTCATCACATGGGCTGCTACTGAAACAACTGCTGTCAGTTACTAATGGTCTCCATTAGCAGATATTTATTCTCCTCGACTGACCTTTACCCACTCCTGTGTCTGCCCAACCATTTTTCTCTCTCTCTGGGCTCCGTCTCGCCCTATTGTTTATCCCTTCTCCCCACCTCCTCTTTAACATATTTACCAACATTATCTCAGATATAATCAATTCTGAAGAAGGGTCACCAGATGTGAAACATTAACTCTGCCTTCTCTCCACCGATGCCACCAGATATGCTGAGTTTTTCTAGAAATTTCTGTTTTCGTTTCTGATTTCCAGCATCCGCAGTTTTGTTTGCCAGATGAGTTGTACTGTGGCAATCTGCACTGCATCCATACATTAAGAATGTCAAAGTGTTTTTGGTTTGGAAACTAACAAAAAAATGTCAGGAAGAAATGAGGAATTGCGGTTAGTCTGTCCTAGGGGCCAGGGACAACAATGTTCAAAGTGCTTCTCAACAGGACATAGTACATGTAAATCTGAGGTGAAATCAGCATGACATCAGAGAGTATGTCCTGACCAGATCTTCAAAATCGGGCAAGTAGTTAGAAAGTACATTAAAAAGCAAACAACAATGACCTGTAGTTTTAAAAGACACACATTTGGACAGATGGTGCTGCTGGTGTTTCTTTGGTTTGTGTCTGACAATATAAGCTCAGGCCAGAATGCAAGATATTTCTTCAAGTAATATTTATTTATATGAGGATCTTGCAGTAAACATCTTGACTGGAAGCTATTCTAGTTCCAACCTGCAAGCAGAGTCTCCCTCACTTGACTACTGAAGTCACTTTAAACATCACAGCATATGTCAGTGGCTCAACTGCATATTTCTTACGTATCTATCACTACAACTAGGAAAGAGAGTACCTTGAAAAATTAGCAGATAAACTTGAAAAAATTCTAGATTATGAAATGGATGAGGGAACTAAAAATTATTGCAGAAGTGAGTAAAAGATTTGGAATGCTTCATTGTGAAGTGAGGATTATGTCATGGTTCTTGATATTCATTTCTTCAATACAGTCAACTGACAAATTATGATTGATACATTAGGGAGGAAATACTGAATCAGCGATCCGCGCATTAATGGAAATCAACATTGTTCTGATCGAATGTCATCAACCATAAATGTTAACTGTTTCTTTTCATAGATTTTGCCATATTTGCTGAGCATTCCCAGTTTTTTTTTATTTATACGCTAAGGTCAGGACATATTAAGCTCTTTAAAAAATGTGACATATTTATATTCTCACTGGTTGCTATCATCACAATAAAGTGAAAAACTGATCAATGAAGAATGGAATAGCTCAATGGCAGCTTCCCAATTACCTAAATCACAGATTGTATAAAGAAGGTAGCCATAATGTGTAGATGCCAGTGTTGGACTGGGGTGAACAAGGTCAGAAGTTACCAGGTAATAGTTCAACAGGTTTATTTGAAATCTCAAGCTTTTGGAGCACTGCTCTTTCATCAGGTAAGCTTCTTTGTATAGAGAGCACAGATAAATGGACAACATATCACATGGAAAGTATTGTTGACAAATTGAAGTGTGGATGAGGTAATATACCTTGGAGGTTAGATGGGCTGAAGGGGCTGTGAGAACAAAATAAAAATAAACATTGCTTTTGATGATAATGAAATTATAACAATGGATGAAATACGTTGCAAAAAAGAGAATATAAAAGACTCATTTCACTGACAATCATAGAATCACAGAATCCCTACAGTGTGGAAACAGGCCCTTCGGCTCAACAAGTCCACACCGACCCACAGAGCATCCCACCCAGACCCATCCCCCTATAACCCACCTAATCTACACATCCCTGAACACTACGGGCAATTTAGCATGGCCAATCTACCTAGCCTTTATTTGAAGCTGGAAGCTGGATTATGAAAACATTTCAAGAGCTGTGGATAAGTGTGGAGAGATACAACTATGAAAGCAGGACTTAGAAAATAGAAGACAGAAATCGATGAAAGAAAATAGAGTAAGGAAGCAAATGGAAATCATCTTTACGAAGCAGAACTTTAAGGCAGAATTTTCTGGAAAAGAAATCATAATTAGTTAAGCAACATAAATAAAACAATCAGTACTGCAAATGCCAGAATTAAAACACAAACCAAAAATGTTGGTAATATAGCAAGTGAAGTCAGATCTATGAAGAGAACACAAGATGATATTTTGGGTAGATACTGTGGGGGAAAAAAAGAGTTTACACTTGATATCTTGGTCTAACTGTAGGGTCAACACAGTTAAAACAGCTTGCTACTACTGAGCATGGAATGCAGTGTGTAAGCTGACCTCAGGCAAAGGCAACTCGTCAAATAAAGGAGTGTGATGGAATATGTAAAAGTCATCAGTTAGGCCTGGGATTGGTTGAAATATATTAAATTATTTTATTGTGTTTATGGTAATAAGAGTTGGAAAGAGCTAAATAGGGCAAATTAACTAAGAAAATAAAATGATTAGAACAAAATGATAAAGACCATGAGCATTCTGCTGTCACCAAATTATTATTGTGACATTAGTGTTATGCATATAGAGATCAAAGGTAAAATTATTACATGTGTGAAACTCTGTATGCTGCACTTATACAAGAATGTAAAGTATGATGTACTTGAGCACTCATACTGGAATCATGCTGGAATGATGTCTCAAAATAGACCTGACCCTGTATGTGTAGGTATTCTGGTGCTTAAAGTAACAAAACAAATTAAAATAAGAAAGCAATCCTGGCCAATGGAGACCAATTCTGAGGACCTAAACTCGAAAGGACACCTTTCATTCTCTCCACAAATCCTGCTTAGCATTGAGTGTTACTAACTCTTCAATTTTTGTTTCAAATTTTCAACATCCACAGTATTTTTGCATTATGTACAAGGAAAATGCTGAAAGAGCTGATGGTAGTTAAAATACAGCAAGAAGCATGAAACAGGAAATGTGTGCCAAATAGCAAACTAACATCTTGGTTCTTTTTAAAAAGAGCTCTGAAGTTGAAGTTTTTCAAATTCACACTTACCAGGATTGAATTTTAGACAAGAAAGAACAATTTATGTAGCATGAGAAGGCGGGTATTGATTTATTGTATGTGGTTCACAAGGTGATACAGCATGAATTATGAAGCTGATAGGAAAATATTGATAGTAAAAGTCCAAGCTTAGACAGTTTATCTGCATAACAGAACAGCAAACTGGAAGCCAGAACAATGACAACTTTTTTCTGAAATTGGCAGAAGGAAGAAAACAAAAGTAGCATTGGATACATTTGATGGTCAGTCCAATTATGACAAAGACTGGGGAAAGTTGGGGTGGGTGGGTTGCATTAGTATAAAGCATGCTAAAAGTAATAACTTCTCCCAGTTTTCACCATAGTCTCAAGTGTTTATCAATTAAAATAGTGCATCTTAATCTAATACGTTTTAAAACAAATTTATTTTAAGATGTCTGTTTAAATGTCAAACTGCTAATTTAAAATTTAAATTAAATTAGTTTCAGATACAATGATTTGAAAACTGTGCTTTGATGTTC